CTAGTTACAACTGCATCGCTACTAGTAACAAGGGCATGGCTACTAGTTAGTTACAGCTACATCGCTACTAGTAACAATGGCATGGCTACTAGTAACAACAAGAAGCTTTTTGTCCCAAAGAGGTGCGCGCCCATGTCATCCACAGAGCTCCAGCCATGTGATACCTGGGTCCTCAGGACAACCCCCTTTTGGGCCAGGCAAATTCTGTGAGGCAGCACAGAAGGCCTAGAGGGACACCCTAAAAGCCTAAAAACATATTCAAATTACATCAAATCACAGGCATCCTTGGAGCAGTCCTGTTGCTTTAGACATTTTTAGACTATAGACTTTGTTTGCTGCTTGCTGTGGTTGCTGGATGTGGCAGAAATCATGCTAATGTGAAGTCAGCTCTGAAACCGACGCAGCTTTTTTTGATTCCTCGAGTTACCCAGATGTCAAGCATGTCTGCCCAGATGGCGGCCCGCCATAATCAAGTCACTCAGTAGCAGGGGGATTACACTGCCTGGCCACAGATTCCGAAGTCATGACTCTTGGGTGTTTTGAGCCATCATGCCGTAGTACCGCATTGCATTTGTTAACATCAAGCAACCGTGTCAATTTGCGCTCTATGGATTACCATTTCGTCAATGTTGGAAGAAAGTTGCGAAAGTTTTATGTGCATCATAAATCCAGGATAGCATGTGGAAGGCTGTGCAGAATGCTTGAAGGAAGCTGCTGTCATGTTGAGTGCAGCAATTTGCTTCGCAAGTGCTACTGCACCGCTTTATTTGAGAGACGCGAGGTTGGAATCAAGATGGCGGCGCTTGGGGCGGCAACAATCTTCGCAGCCTCCCTGTTACCTCGTACAGGACAAGCCCTTTTGTCATGTCAGTAGTTGTCAGTGTGCTTCTTGAGGGTACCAGTCCCAAGCGTGTTGGGATGAGATTTGCAGCGAGATGTAGTTCTTACAGACCTTTGAGAGAAGGAGCCTTTGTGGCTTTGCCTCCGGTTTCTCGAACAGGGCAAAGGCTGCCAGAGATGCGCCTTGACCCCATAAATTTGACAGAGGGGGGGATGTGTGGGAGAAGACCAGTCCACGGTCTACATATATGATGAAGATGTATCCTCCGGCGAATCCTCCAGTGCGGTGGTGGTAGAGGCTTAGAGTCTTTGATTTTGATGGACACCGGCGCAAAGCAGCCAGTGACGGCTGAAGCACCTGCTGAGGAACTTTCCAAAGCCGTCTTCATCTGCTCCAAGTGGAATTCTCTCCGCAACGGCCGCCACAGCTGCGTCTTTGGGCGGCATGGATGGTGTTCCACAGACTGACCCTGGAGATTTCTCCAAAAGACAACACTCATTTCACAGCAATTGCAGGGCTGGTAACCAGAGCTCGTGAAAGCAAGGTCACACAGGCTGATTGAAAAGATTATATTGCCCTGCCAAGGTTTGCGGCTATTTTTGCTGCCAGGATGGGCTTTGCTGCCGCCGTGCCCGTGGGGCCCTTGTTCTGGTTGCCAAAGCACAGTAACCGCTCCAAAGTAGTTCAACCTGCATAGTTGGCTACCTGTGCTGAACAAATGGCCTACTTTTTCTAATTGTCAAAGTCAAAGTGCTTCCCGAATGGCCTTTAGGAGGGATACGTTTTTCGTATCTACTTTTTGGCAGCTATGGATTTATAGAATCAGAGGAACATGTCACATAACCCTGCCACACACGCCCTGGCATCAAGGTTAGGGGCGCACGCCGCTCAGAGAAGGTCGTGCGTGCCGCAGGCACTTGGAGCGTCAGCTCCAGCGGAGGCCGGGGAGCTTTCATGAAAAACACGTGCATGTTTACCGTAAGTATTGATGATGATGATGATGATGATGACGATGACGATGATGATAATGATGATGATAGTGAGGTTTATCGCCACTTTGGGATTGTCGAATAGGTTCTGCAAGAAGTCAAGACTTCAACGGCATAAGAAGTAGAACAATACGACATAATAAGACATCGAACAGTTCAACACTGAACTTTGATGTCTCCAGGCATCACATCCAGCAGCTCATCCTTCCTTGGCTCATCCATGGCCGGATCAGTGACAGGGCCTGTGGCGACTCCTTCGAACAGCTCAGGGTCTGGCCTTTCGTCAATGTCAATGTCGCTTGGAATGCTGTAGCCATGGGAGTTGTCCTGGTGCTCTAGCCATGCTTGCGTAACATGCCTTGTGTTCCGATGTGCCGCTTTCCCTCGCAGAAGTGTTAGCACTTCTTTTGCAACATGCTGTGTGAGGATGTTTGAGCGATTCAATGAGAAAGCCATCAAGGCTGTGATGATGGCACAGGAGGAATGCCAGGGGAACGTTAGCCGTCGTTGTTGGAGTGGTTCTGGTCGATGCGGTATTGGTTGTTCATTTGGCAAGTTGCTCGTTTGTAAAGTTCCTGCTTTTGGCCGAAAAGTGCACATGGTACCACGTGCTGCGTAGGAGTCACGCCGTCTTGGCCACAACTATGTTGGAACTGAGATGCTCTTGGTGGGTGTTGTGGCCGACACCAGTGGGCCATCCGGAAAAGTCCTGAAGAAGTTCAACGTGACAATCAAGGACATGTCCGTGGGTTCTGGTGCTGTGTACTTCCCTGGTTGATCCTGGTTGTGCGTTTTGGTTCCTCCAGGAAACCCGCAAAACGATGGAAGAGATGGTCGGGCGCGGAACTGGCATGGTCTCAGTGGAGATCCCTTTCACCCCAGCAGCGAAGCGTGTGCTGGGCGATGGGGCGCCATAGCTTGGATAGTTGTGGGGCTTGCTTCGCTCATCATTCGAACACATGCAGACATCTCAACATCTTAGTCAGCAGGCCAGGGCCATATTGTATCATATTGTCCCGTGCCGGGCTATGTTAGGGTCAGAAGTCATTGCCGAATTCTAGTCGCCCAATGCCAAGGTGGAAGAGGCAAAAAGACTCAACGCAAACACCATCGATACTGCTCACATCTTGCTGGCCCTCCTCAAAGAGGACGCCCAGGGCCAAACGTTAAAAAATAGATGTTCATTGGATGTCATTGGGATGACGAGTGCACGCTGTTCAACCACCCTTGTGGCACTTGCACATGTTGAAGGACAATGGAAATGCTGTCAAGATTTTGGAGAAGTTGGGTGTTGATCCATCGAAGATGCCAGAAGAGATTATCAAGGACACAGCGTAGCGGGCGTAGCGAATGACTTCGTGCATTTCTCGACTTTCCAGGGTAGCATTCCACGGTTGTATTTACCATTGCTTTAGCATAGTCTTAGCATCTGTTTTTCCCCACATCTCTGTGTGGGGTTCTAGTTTTTT